ATGGCCACCAGGTGGTGCTGTGGAGGAAGAAATAACAGATTCTGGTTTCAACTTTAATCCTCGCTCATGTTGGTTAATGTTAATATGAAACATGTTTGGGAAGCTTGACCAGTTATCTGCTTTGTTAAGACTCTGTAACTTAAAGTCTAAAGGCGGGAGTGAAGGATATAAAGCAGATCTAAAAGGAAAGGATTCTTCTTGGCATTGAGGAGTTTTTTGGTATGAAAATGAGATATTTTAATTATTTTAAAATTCAGTCTGGCAAAAGAGATTATTTTAGAGATATAAAAATTATTAGTGAACACTTCAGGCAGACTATTTCATTACAGCGGGCCAGAAACATATCATTAAGTATTTCCAAGGTCTTTGAATGGAAACAAGAGGAGCATGTGAGCTGAGTTGTCAAGGACCCTGTCATTAAAATGGATGAGTAAGAGAAGCCAGGTCCTAAATTAATAAGCATTCTCATTTAATAATTTAACACACCGAAATTGAAAAATTGTCTAAGCCATTGGCTCTTCAGGCAGTATGTCATTCTCCTCACGGGCTGAATAAAGTAAATCGTTGGCATTAAGATGCCTCTAAATTAATTAAATTGAGCTGGAGTTTACATGAGTCACTGAGCCCTGATTCTGGTCTTGAGTATTGGGTATTATTTTCATCTTCTTGGACCAGACAGATTCTGGTTTCCTAAGTACATTTATCTAATTTAGATTCATTTGTAATTATTGTTCATTTTATTTATTTATTTTTCCTTCTTTTTTGGGTTTCCTGGGCGATATCACTTTAGCATGCCAGCGCAAAAAGAGTCCCTTTTTGAGAAGCAAAAGCAAGGACAAAGACAAGTCTCCAACGACCCACCCAGCTCTCTCTAAACGCCTGCGGTTCTGGTCCTCCTCCGACATCCCATCCTCTCCTAACGAGCCTCTCTCTTTCTCAGACATTGGAGATTTCTAACCCCTTTTCCTTTATCATGTGTCTGCATCATGTATCCACCTTCATTTCTGAAATTCAAACAAACCCAAAAAAAAAAAAAAAAAGCCAAGACCTAAAGGCCAGGTGGCCTATAGTGGACCCTACTCCTGTCCCAATTCCAAGCTTAAAGTAGCCAGCGTGGATTCTGATTCAAAATAGAAGAAGAGTTGTCACACTCCCTGGACTGTTTCTTCACAGTGTTAGGGGAGCCTCAGGATATACGTGTACATGTCCTTGGGCCAGGATGTCCATACTAAGTAAGTCAAGTGGCCGTGTGCTTCCACCCCTCTCTTGCGCCTGCAAGCTTATATTGTGCCTTTGTGTCCAGCAGAACCGGTCCGTGGCTGCTGTGCTTCCTAAAATATACAGCCTCTGTCAAGTAAGGTTTTCTTTTTGCAGACTTATTTTTAAAGCAGCTAAATTTAAAACCACTGCCCTTTGTTCCTCATCCTTTGTCAGAGCACTGAGTTATTGGCTTTGCTAAAACAGCCCTTTTTAATGTGTTCTGTATGTTGAAGGATTGATTGCTCCATTCAAAGACTTTGAATAATTGCATTGATTCTGCCCAGCCCGAGTTCAGCCCAGAATGAAGTTTTATGACTGTGCTGTGGTTCTCTGACATCTTGGATGCTGAAGTTAAGACAGTAGGGCCAGAAAGAACATCAACACCCAGATCACGGCCGGAGCAGGAAAAACGCTGGCCAGCAAAGTCATTATCTGCTGCAGGATTTCAGCCATTTCTATACCATCTTCTTGATTTTTGCCATGTCCCTATACAACCTATAGGATTATTTACATACTTTCCCTGAGGTTGACTCATAGTTCTCAGTTACATTTATTTTAAAAGGAAAGATTATTATCAATACTATAAATGGAAAATGAGCATCACCATAAGAACAAATACATAACTGTAAAAATGTTAAAGTTGGTTAACATGCCACCGACTCCATCTCATCAACCTGCTCTGGGAACCTTGGGCTGCTGCAGTCTTGGGTCCTCCAGGCCTTTGGCTTCCACGCATGATGCTGAGATTGTGCTGTTTCTCTGTCTGCCGCTCATGCTAACTGTTCGCTCATCTCTGCCTCCCCTTTGGATCCTCACTTCAACATCACCTGTCCCAGTTCATTCCACCAAACTTGAATCTTGCTTCTCATCAAGGTTATCTTTCAAAATCCAAACTTGCCCTTGATTTCACATTGTAACATCTGGGTGCTTAAAACCATACAGTGAGCCCGGACTTTGAATGGCTTAGAAGGGCAGATGGGGCAGATGTGCAAAGGAGCCAAATTTGAGCAGTGAGGCCTAGCTCTGGATCCGTGGCCTTTGGGGGCACGTGGAGTGGGACATTTTGCAGAATGTTTTGTCATCTGTTAGGGACTCCAACCATGTTAGTTTTTATCTTGTATTTGGAGATCACATCCTCTCTCCTGTGGGGTAGTTGGTTTGGGTTTTGTTTTGAAATTTTTTTTTTTTTTTTTTTTTGGCCAGGGCTGGATTTGAACCCGCCACCTCCGGTATATGGGGTCAGCGCCCTACTCCTTAGAGCCACAGGTGCCACCCTGTTTTAAATATTTTTTACGTGTGATTTTATTTAATACTGACAAGAATTTATGTTCATGGTAGAAAAATCAAGAGATTGCAGAAAAGCACAAGATGTAAGGTGAGAATCATCTTGCGGTCTCACCATGCAGAGATGAAATCTTCTCTATTTAAAAACTACATATCGTGAGTTAGGTAATACATGGTAAAACATGTATCTGAAGTCCTAAGTAAAGCCGGTGGCAGATCTTCAGATCCTTGGCTGCAGGTTGAGACTGGTCCTGGGCAGACATCTGTTAGGATCTGTATAGGTTGGGGATTGATGTTCTTGACACTCCTCCGTGGGAGGTGTGCCCTCTGGCTGGTGTGTTGGATGGATTTTATCAACAGTTTCATCCTCTTCAGTTCTCCCCTCGTTTGCTCCCAGCCTTTCACAGTTGGCAGTATGACCCATCATTAGAGCCAGAGGCACCCTCTGACCTAGGCCTAGAGACCGCACCCCCATTTAAATTTTGGCCCAGGAGCCTGACAGCTCAGCTTTTGTCTCTGTGGTCCTCGTGCCCTGCTGCCTCTGCTTCTGGGCCTTGGTGTGGTTCCCCCAAGCCTGGGCACAGGATTTGGCAGCCTCATTTCTCGATGTCCTCTTCTGGCCCAGGCCCTGGGGATTTAAAGCCAAAGCGAGGGTCCCCACACGGAGGCAGCCTTGACCGCACAGATGCCCCTCCTGACCCAGCCATGAAGTCCTGGCCCTCGGAGCTGGGCTCCCGGACCTGCTCATCATCTTTGGCCCCTACCACCACCCCTTCCAGCTCCAACCCCCTCTCCCGGCACCCAGGCCGCACCAAAGGTGAGTCGTGGACTCCTTCAGAAGGGTGAGCATTGGGGCCTGGTGTCCTAGAGACCCCAGGCTATCTGAGGCCAGGGGTATGTGTCCCCCTCTCAGGCCAAGAGATAGTGAGCAGAGTGGTTATGCTGGCATCACAGACACAGGTTCAAACCTTAGTTCTGCCTCCTAGCCGAGTGACTTTGGACAAATAAGTTATCATCTAGAGGCCTGTCCTAATGGGAAAAGCATCAGAACCCACCACCAGCATTCAGGAAGTAGTGACACCAAGTAGCTTCGGTGAAGCTAGGGCTGAGAAGCAGAGTTTGGGCTAAAACCAGGCACCTGTCCTTACCCCCTTGGTAGAAGTTTGGAGATTTCTTTCTCTAGAGAGAACAACTTGGACTTTGGGAGCTGGAAGTTCACTGGCACAGTCGAGACAGGTGTTTGTACTGGAAACAAGGGGATGCAGTGAAATGTTTGCAAACTCCCTGTCTCCCGGCATACTGAGAGCTATGTGTGTGCACACCCTTCAGTATGAGATGAAAACACTCTTTGAGTAATTGCATGAGCTTAAGAGATTCTCAAAATGGCTTAGATCTTGCCAGGTGACACCATGGAAGTTCAAGGATTCCCAGACACCTCAGGAGAGTCTCTCACCCCAGAGATCAAAACTAATGCAAAAGGCAGCTGGAGTAAACAGACATTAAGCACAGAGATGAAACCTTTAAGACGCCCGTCCTTCATATGGTCAGAGAAGGGAGACTGTGAAATGAGAGCAGGATGCTATAAAAAGGAGCAGTGGGAAGGAAGAAGAGCATTTGGCAATTTAAAATATGCAGACAGAAAGGCAAAGATAATGCTTAAGACTGAAAAAAGACATTCTGCTTGTAATTTAAGAAATAGAGAAATACTCAGAGAAACAGCTAAAGGAATTAAAAATGATTGGCTCTGGGTGCTGGAAGTCTGAGAGAGCAGTACCACCCACTCTTGGAGCTCCGAGTGTGCCTAACCTCGGCTTGACAAGCAAAACAAAGCAATGCTACAGGGGACCCTGGAGCTCCAGAGATCCATAGCTGGTGGGCTTGTAACTGTCTTTGCCATGGAGACCCTATCATTGTATTGGAGGGGGCCCAGGGTCCGCTCTGGGATAGAAACTAATAGGCTGGAGGCGTGGAACATCTGCCAGTCTTCCCAGAAAGGCCAGTTTATTGATGGCCTTGGGATTCCTGAGTCTTTGTCTGGTTGGGAAAGGTGAGTGCACAGTAAACTCGAAGGAATCAGCCTGTCCTTCTTGTAGATTCCAGTTCAGCTTCTTTTTCTTTCTTTTCCTTCCTCCTGCTACCTGAAGACAATGTAACCCCCTAAAAAGTCTTTGATGGCTGGCTCTGTGGCTCCCCAGGGTACTAAATATTCAGTTCCTCTTGCATTATCCTTAGGCCAGAATTCACCATTATTCTTCCCCTTGGTCAGTGCACAGGTTAAATGGGATGGCAGAGTTAGGGTTGTCCCAGCAGGGGAAGCCCAGAGGGATAGGGGAGGCAGGGCCCAAAGGCACAGTCTGAGTCCCCTCCCTCATTCCCAGGGGCTGGCCTGGGGTTTCTCTGTGGATGGTGCATGTCCTAGAACCCTGTGTCACCAACTTTGTGTTCACCATAGGCTGTAATTCAGATGACAACCTCTGCGAGCCATTCCTAGAGCTGGAGCTCAGCCACAGGCAGTATGGTGAGTGTGCACCCTTCAGCCTGGTTCTCACACTTGATTTTGTCAGTGGTACATTTTCTTCAGTCTAAGTCCAGTGTGGAACAGTGCAAAATAGGTGAAAGTGGGAAGGGGGAACCCATTCCATGTCCTCCCCAGGGGCCCTAGCATGAGGTTTCCCCTTACCTCCAGTGGTGGGAAGTTCACTACCTCCTAATCATTGCAGTTCTGGAAGCTCTGACCACCACTACCACCCCCTGCCCTTTGCGTTCAAGCACCCATCCAGGTTTGCCAGGAAGGTCTCTCTCACTGTCCTCACTTGGGTTATAGCTGCCTGTAGTAGCTCTTGAGTTGTATTTAGTCTTAGAAATTGTTACAAGTGCTTGTCATTTGATTTAGGCGTATTGTCAATTTCTACAAATGGGAAACAGTTGAAGGTACCAGACTTCTCAAAAATTAAAAGCTGTTTTGGTTTGTTTTAATTTTTGAAAAGCAACCCTAAAAAGGTGGAGGGGTGGAAATCCTAAAAAAAACTTCTCAAAGTTTACGTTGAATCCTGCTTGCTTCTGAAGTGGTCGGTAAGCACAGGAGCCGGTGTTCTCTTCTGCCCTATCTGTTGTCTAAAAAGTTCCACAGTGTGGACACGTGTCCATACAAACATAAGACACCTGTAGTTCACAGGAGTAAAGACCGGCCCCGTGATGGGACAGTGTGACACAGGGGCCCCTCTGCCTGGTGTGAAGGCTAAGACAACAACCAGAATCTGTGGCCTCCGTCCTGGATATGTCACCAAATAGCTATGGCTGTGACTGGTCAGCTGACCAAAGGGTTTTCTTCACAAATGTTCTGATTCCTCTGACTTCTTTTATCGAGAAAGAGAATAGAAGGGGATCCGTGATGCAGTGCTTGAAAAACAAAGGTGCTTTCTGGGCCCCCTGACTGATAACAGTTTCCTTGTACTGAAACTTACTCCTTTTTAAAGAGAGACGTGCATGTGTTTATCTCAGACTTTCCCTTTCTGTTTTCACACTTCTCGTGAACACCAAGTGCATTATGGCTCATCCCCAGACAGTGTTTGCTAACAAGTGTTTCCAGATGCCTGCTGTTTGCAGAGCTCACCAGCACTTGGGAACCCAGTACCCTGTGGGTCCAGGAAACTTGGGCGAGGTTTCCTTGGGAGAACAGCAAGCAGATGACCTCAGGGTGTGTCTTGTAGGCTCTCGGGGCTATTTGTTTGTTTGTTTTTGAGACAGAGTTTCACTGTGTGGCCCTCAGTAGATCGCTGTGGCATCACAGCTCACAGCAACCTTGAACTCTTGGGCTTAAACGATTCTTTTGTCTCAGCCTCCCAAGGAGCTGAGACTACAGGCTCCCACCACAACGCCCAGTATATTTTGTTGTTGTTTAGCAGGCCTGGGCCAGGTTCCAACCCACCCCACCAGGTCAGGTACATGTGGCAGGGCCCTAACCACTGAGCGACAGGTGCCGAGCCGTCTTGGAGCTGTTGAGCTTAGCACCTGCTGTGTGCTAAGGAGACTTGGGGATGGCTGAAACAAAGTCTCTGTCACAAGATACTCTGATACAGGGCAGGCTGCAGGGAGAAAGGCCCAAGGGAGGCCTGGAGCCCTGGAAGGGATGGCTTGTCCTTTGCAGGGGTGGTGCTGGCCTTCCCCAGAGAGGGCAGTGAGGCGCAGACGCACTTAGGCAAGCACCCACAGTGGACAGGAGGGCTGGGTTCCCTTGGCATTTGTCACCGTAAACCTTGACTTTTCCTTTTGGGGCAGGTATAGATTTGAGGCAGGTGACACAAAACTGAAGAGTAGCAAAGAGCCAGGAGAAGGGAATGCCCCTTTTCCTTCTGGGGTCCCCAGCGCCTGCTCCCTGTGGGTCACCTCACACAACATCTCCCTGTGTGCAGGCACGTGCTTGCTTATGCATACACGTGTGCAGGAGGCGCCTTGAATAGCCCATCATCTCTGTCCCCCATGGCCTTGGCAGGAGCTGTTCTCAAGTGTTCCAGAAAGCTCTGCAATAATAAGAGTGGGCCCCCTCCCAACCCCAACCTCCAGTTTACCCAGAGCAGTCCCTTTTGTCTGTGCTCCGTACTGGAGATAGTTTTAAGCTGTAACCCTAGACCTAATAAAAATAGATAACCAAGGTTGTCATTTTTTGACAGCGTGCTGTGTACTGTGCCTAGCACTCGGTGGCACTAAACTCCCTCATCCAAGTATGGAGAGAACCCCAAAGTCCTTCCTTCCTTGGGGCATTGGCCTTAGCGTTGGCATGGAATTGCTTTGGTACATAATTGTTCTCAGATTAGATGGTTTAATCTAGGATATACCCAGTCTGTGGCCCTGTAAGCTAAATGTTTTCCATTTCATTTCAGTGTCCCGGCCAAGTAGTTTAGAGAGCAGTAGAAATACATCCAGCAACAGCTCACCTCTTAACCTAAAAGGTAAGTCTTTACCTGTGGACTTTTAAAACTTTATTTGCATGTTTGGCTCTGGGCTTGTGTAGTATTCTTATAATTTAAAACATACTTAAGTTGGCTCAGCGCCCGTAGCACAGTGGTTATGGCAGCAGCCACATACACCCAAGGTGGCGGGTTTGAACTCAGCCCCAGGCCATCTAACCAACAATGACAACTGCAACAAAAAATAGCTGGATGTTGTGGCAGGTGCCTGTAGTCCCAGCTCCTTGGGAGGCTGAGGCAAGAGAATCGCTTGAGCCCAAGTGTTTGAGGTTGCTGTGAGCTGTGATGCCACAGCACTCTATCGACAGACAACGACATAGTAAGACTCTATCTCAAAAAAAAAAAAAAAAAAAAGAAGAAGGCTCAGCACCTGTGGCTCAAGCGACTAAGGCGCTAACCACATACACCTAAGGTGGCGGGTTCAAATCCAGCCCATACCCGCCAAACAACAATGACGGCTGCAACCAAAAAATAGCTGGGCATTATGGCGGGCACCTGTGGTCCCAGCTACTTGGGAGGCAGAGGCAAGAGACTCACTTGAGCCCAGGAGTTGGAAGTTGCTGTGAGCTGTGATGCCACAGCACTCTACCCCGGGGGACAGCTTGAGGCTCTATCACAAGAAAAAAAAGAAAGAAAAGAAAACATACTGAAATTAATAAGACTTTGAAATTCATTATGATGATTTCATAGGCCATACAATGTGGTATCAGGCATGGGCTTGGAAGTTATAATAGATCAGGGTTCACATCCCTTCTCCCCCATTGACCAGCTCTGAGAGCAGGTCCTCTGAGTCTCAGTTATATCATCTGTAGAATGGGGATAGTAACAGGAGTTCCATTCCACTGTGGTCAGACTACTCATACGGATGATTTTGATTGTTTGAAAATTTTTAGTTTGTTTGGTATATAATGTCTGTCTTCACGAATGTTCCCTGAGCATTTTTCAAAAAAGAATGTGGGTAATGTCTTAAAAAGATGTTTTTATTAGCTTTCCCACGACTGGCCCCCAGAAAAGCACCTGGCACATAGTAGGTGCTAAATAGACTTCTAATACCTGAGTGAGAGCTAACAAGTGCTGTGTGTTACAGCCATTGATAACTTCAATTAGCAGCTTTCCACTTTTATCTCATGTTCCTTTGTTTTTAAAAGACAATGTGAACCTCAAAAGAATTCCAAAAGTTCCTTTAACATCCAAAATTGTGCCCCACTAGGAGCGAGCCCCGGATTTGGGGGCGGAGTTTTCTTTCTATCCTATGTGAGCCAGAGGCAGTGTGGAGCCCACTGGAAGCCAGCAGGTGCGTGGCTGAAACTGATGTGTGCTTCTCTGTGTCACCTGCTCTGACCCAGGTTCCTCCGACCAGCTCCATGGCCGGTCTGAGAGCTTCAGCAGCGAAGACCTGATCCCCAGCAGAGACCCAGCCACTCTGCCCCGGGATGCCAGCACCCCAGGACGCAGCGCCCTTGGCCGTCATGAGTACCCCCCACCTCGGAACGGGCCTCTCTCCCAGGAGGGTGCCCAGAAGAGGGGTGCAGCACCTTCCCATGTGGGGGTGCGGCCCTGCTCAGCCTCCCCCAGCAGTGAGATGGTCACCTTGGAGGAATTCTTAGAGGAAAGCAACCGGAACTCCCCAACCCCTGTGAGTGGCCCAGGGCATGGAGGGGGCATGGAGTGTGGGTCTCTCTTCCCTCCCTTCAATCTCTCCCTGGCCTGGGACTGGAGTCCTAGAAAGGGATGGGTCAGGGGAGGAGAGGCCCAGGCACAGAGGTGTGAACATGGGAGGATAACAGCACTCACTGGCAGTCACCACCAGCTGGCTGCCAGCTCCCAGACGTTGGAGGCTGCTTTCCTCCATGCCTGGGAAGTGAGCTGGCAGAGCAGCTGGCCAGCACCCACCTGCAGGGGCAGGACCTCACACAAGGTTTTGTGGCAGAGCTCTGAGTACTCGCTTACCCCTGAGTCTTCTCTAGCAGGGATTGGCAAACTTTTAAGGGCCTTGAAATGGCCAGTAAGTTACATATTTTAAGCTTTCCAAGGCCACATAGCTTCCATTGTGGCTACTTAACTCTAGCACTTTAGAAAAAGCAGACACCTATCATATGCCAAGGGACAGGCCCAGCTGTCCTCCAATAAAACTTATAGATGCTGACATTTGAATTTCATATGATTGTCACGTGTCTTGAAATACTGTTCTTTAAAAAACAGTTATTTTTCAGTCCTTTAAAAATGTAAAACCTACTTTCAGCTCGCAGGGGTTGTGTGTGTGGGCAGCAAGCTGGATTGGGCCATAGCCCTAGTTTGCTGGCCTCTGCTCTGTGGCTCCTAACCCCAGACACCACCTGCTGACATATCTTCTTCTGCCTCCTGTCCAGCATCTTCGTTTAGCTTTTGCAAAGCGTCTTAGTTGTGCTCTGATCTCAGTCATCTGAGCTGCTGGGTTATTGAGTGAATGAAGTATACTGTGTCTTGCGGTTGAGATCATTTGAGGATCTTTAATACTTGCAATGTTTTTACTTTCATTCCCCCTAAAATGAAAGCAGTTGGACTTTTCTCTGTCCTGTAATAAGGGTCTAGCCTTTGCCAGACCACAGGGGCTGGCTCCCTGAGTTTCTGATTCAGTAGGTCCAACGTGAGTCTTGCCAAGGATTTTCCAACTTTAATAAATTCCCAGATGATGCTCTTGTAGCTGAGGAGGCACCACACTCGGAGTCACTGGTCTAACAGACTAAACGAGTGCACTCCAGAAATCAGAGGTGCCTGTGATTGGAGGGCTTTCCTTCTCAGTCCTTTCTAGTTATAAGCCCTACACTGTAAATTTCCCTTCCCTTTGGAGATCTCGGGGAGCAAGGGGCAGAGCCACTACCTGCTGCTCTGTAGCTTAGACGAGACCAAGACCATCTTGCTGCAGCAGTTTCTGTTGGAAGCTGATGCTTGGCACCCAGCAAGTCACCTTGCCCTAGCCCTGCTCTGTGCCTGGAAGAGTAGCCCCAGGACCCTAGCGCTCGACACACCTAGCTGTCCTACCCTAGTTCCAATGGCAGCTTCCATCCCAGAGAGCCCTTACCTCCATTTCCTGCATGTTAGTGGTGCTGGGGGTGGAGTGGTTGCCCTGGATGGGGCTCCTTCGGTGGCCACAGAGGGTGGTCTCCTGAGAATGGGTATCAGAGACCTAGAAGTGTGCTTAGAGGAGCTGAACTGCCCATGACCTCAATGTCTTTGCCTTTTAACAACCTTGCAAGTTTGCTTTAAGAATTAAGTGAGGTTTTTGGCAGTTATACACGTGGCTCTTGTGTGGGTATAAGTGGTACCTGTGGATAGGAACAATCCCACATCTCAACAACACCCACCCAAGCTCTGGAGCATCAGATTGGCATAAAACAGCAGATTGCCCCTCATCCATTTGTTTTTGAGGGGCAAGAGTTGTTGACACATGCAGACAGCTCCTGAGCTCTGGACTGACACCCCCAACCCTCGTGTCCCATGTGAGCTCATTTCCCTTCCTCATCTGCCTTCCTCGGCCTCAGGAGAAACCCCCGTTTACAGAAGGCTGCAGTTACCTTGCAGGCTTGCAGGCTTTTGCCTCCATGGTGCTGCCTGCTGCCGGGGCAGGAGAAGGGCATCAGGTGGTAGCTTGACAGGACAGACTGGTGGGCTGGACCGCCTGGGAGCCTCCCTTCCCTGTGCAGCCCTGGTGTTCCCATCTTGGGCCGTCCACCTCTCTCGCTCCCTCCACCCCATTCTGCCTCTCTCTTCCCTTTCTGGGACTGGGAGAAAGGCCTGGGTGGTAGGGAGGGTCCTGGCTTTTTATGAGCCAGCAATTCTCACCTGTTCCAAAATGAAAACACCCCCGCACTCTGGGGAGGTGGCCACTATCGCCCCTGTCGGGGTAGGGCTCAGTCTTGTGTCCCTTGGCATATGAAGGAGCTGCTCTTGTTTCTCTTTCTCCCAGTGGCCCAAGGTGAAATCCTCAAGTCAGGCAGGAGCAGAAAGTCCAGTCCTGGCTGTGTGGGCTGTGCAGGGATGTCCTGGGTGAGGAGGCCTGAGGACTGCCTCCATCTCCCCTTCATTCCCATCCCTCCTTTTTTCTTTTTCTTTTCTTTTCTCTCCCCCCCCCCCCCCCCCCGAGACAGAATCTCACTATGTTACCTTTGGTAGAGTGCCACGGCATCACAGCTCACAGCAACCTCAAACTCTTGGGCTTCAGCGATTCTCTTGCCTCAGCCTCCCAAGTAGCTGGGACTACAGGCACCTGCCACAACGCCTGGCTATTTTTTGTTGTAGTTGTCATTGTTGTTTGGTGGGCCTGGGCCAGGTTCGAACCCGCCACCCTCGGTGTATGTGGCTGGTACGGTAACCACTGTGCTGCGGCGCTGAGCCCACCTCTCCCTTTCTCCCTTCTTCTCCATAGGATACTCCCAGCTGCCGGGATGACCTGCTGAGTGAATACTTCCGAAAGGCCAGTGATCCCCCAGCCACTGCAGGCCAGCTAGGACCATCTACCAGGAAAGAAGGGGCCAAGATGCCCACCAGCCTTGTAGCCCCCACCGTCAAGATGGCCATCACCACCCCTGAGGGGAGGTTGCTGAAGCCTGGGCAGTGTGTCAAGCCAAACTTCAGATCATCTGAGGCCGAGGCCCTGGCCCTACCCAGTGTACCCCCAAGACAGGCCCAGCCTCCCCAGAGCCTGTCTTTGGGCAGACCCCGGCAGGCCACAATGACCCCAGCTTCCCATACCCCTGCCAGCAGGAGTGCTTCCCTGAGCCGGGCCTTCAGCCTGGCCTCAGCTGACCTCCTCCGAGCCAGCGGGCCAGAGGCCTGCAAACAGGAGTCCCCACAGAAGCCAGGGCTTCCTGAGGTCTCGGGTGGCAGAGAAACAGGCAGCCACACCCTGCAAAGCACCACACTCCCCAACTCCCACAGCCTGGCCCGGGAACGGACCCCATTGGTGGGAAAGACTGGCGGTTCCTCTCAGGGTCCCCGCAGCCGGCCACTGGACACGAGGCGCTTCTCACTGGCTCCACCAAAGGAAGAGAGGCTGGTCCCCCTGCAACAGTCTGCCACCGTCCCAGCCATTGCCACTGCAGGTGGTGGCAGCGGCAGCAACTCCCAGCTCCAGCACTTCTCACCTGCTGCAGCCCCAGCTGCCAGGACCAAGGCCAAAACCCCTCCACACTCTGGGGAGGTGGCCACTATTGCCCCTGTCCGGGTGGGGCTCAGTCTCTCAGAGGGAGATGGGGGCCTAGGGCAGAGCTGCAGTGAGGGGCTTCCAGCCAAGAGCCCAGGTAGGTCCCCTGACTCTGCCTCTCACACCAGCCGGGCCCCTGAGGACTGCAGTCGGGGGAGCAGCTCAAAGAGCACGCCAGCATCCCCGGAGCCAGGAGGGGACCAGCAGACAGTGTGGTATGAGTATGGCTGCGTGTGACTTTTGTGACTCTGGTGGATGGGCAGCTCCGAGTCTTCCCGCTACTGGCGCACCTTCTAATTCCAACAGCCTTTTCTCCTGTTGGCACCTGCAGTGCCAGGAAAGGGTTTGGAATGAGGAAGGGGGTTCCTAGCATTTCCCTTTTTGTTTTGTTAATGAAAACACTGTGCCAAGCCCTAAGAGGATTACACTCCCAGGTGTGTAACGCGGCTTCTGTATCTGCAGCTTCCAGCAACTGATACTTTTGAACAAATCCACTTTGGCATGGGGACCACTTAGAACTCAATGACAACACTGACTTATCCAAAAGCAGACACTATTCAAGTGTGCCCTGGTAGAATACTCATTTGCAACGTCTTGACCTCCATTAAAGGACACACACAACACAAACACACATCCCAGGCTCACAAAACTAAGCCCTGGTGGGCCTGAAAACCCCACTCCCTTTTTTTCCAAAAGCCATTTGTCCCGGGAGATGCCCAGGCTGTTACTACAGAGATCTTAAGGGCCTTGGGCAGACCCCAGAGTCAGGCCTGCTGTTAAAAACCAGGAGTGTGGCTATTCCATTCCTGGAATCCCAAGCACTTCCCTTTACCCTGGGGCCCAGGGTGGCCTTGGACTTCTGCTCTCCTCCTCCAGCTGGCTCCTGGGCTCTGCATGATGGGCTCCAGGGGCCACACAGGCACCTTCTTTCTAGATTCCCTGGTTCACTTTTCTACAAACACTGGATCTGCCAGGCCTGGGGAGCAGGACAGAGAGAAGTCCCTGTCCAGTCCCGCTCTTGGCACATGCAAGTAGTGCACAGAGGGGACATCTGGCTGCAGCACCAGATGTCCCCGATCTCAGATGGGATGTTGATTTATTTCTGAATAACTTTTGGGGGTAGAAACCAAATTCCTTTTAATATATTATATATGTACACACTCATGTGAAATATGTATACTTTGGGGGATCTATTTATGTTCCGTTAGGAGTCATCCTTTTCTATCAGGAATCTTATCTGCTGCTTTGTGTGTTTGGTCAGATTCCTGACACATTTAGTTTCCTGTTGTAAAGGTGCTTTTCCTGGGTTGAACCAAACCTATTGATTTTTTTTTAAGATTTTTTTTTCCCTTTGATTTAATATGCTAAGAAAGAAATGGGAGACTTTTGAATGTTAACAAGATCCATTTTAGGAGTGTTTTGGGTTGTATATTAAATAGCCATTCTGGAACACAGGACAGGATTGTAATAAATGGAATGGAAGAGACACGAGTCCTGGTTTTCCTCACTGCACACTGGTAGTGGCATCAAGTGGGCTGTCGGGGACTTGGGGCTTTCTGCCTCCGCTCCCTAAGGCTCTTCCGCCACCATTGGAATCCACCACTTGCTAGTCGCTCTACATAAGTGAAGCTACTACACAGCCAACCAGGGACCAATATGGAGTGCAGAGATTTCCTATTCGTTGCTTCCCCCTACCCCAGAGTTGCTTTTTATTTTTATGTTTTTATTTTTTTCACCCTGTCTAGAGTATAGTGGCATCATCATAGCTTACTACAGCTTCAAACTCCTGGACTTAAGTGATTCTCTGCCTCAGCCTCCCAAGTAGCTGGGACTAGAGGTGCCCTCCATAACACCCAGCTAGTTTTTCTATTCTGAGTAGAGGTGGGGTCTTCCTCTTGTTCAAGCTGGTCTCAGTCCTCCCGCCTCAGCCTTCCACAGGGCTAGGATTACAGGTGTGAGCCACCCTGTCTATCCTGCATTTAATTTTTGTTTGTTTGTTTTAGAAACAGTCTCACTTTTGTTGCCCTTGGTAGAGTACTGTGGTGTCACAGCTCACAGCAACCTCCAACTCCTGGGTTTAGGCAATACTCTTGCCTCAGCCTCCCAAGTAGCTGGGACTACAGGCGCCTGCCACAATGCCCGGCTATTTTTTTGTTGCACTTTGGCCGGGGCTGAGTTTGAACCCGCCACCCTCGGTATATGGGGCCAGCGCCCTACTCACTGAGCCACAGGCACCACCCTGTCCTGCATTTATTTTTAAGTTAGCAAAAACTAAATCTCATTACAATATGCGATTCACCTTGTGTGGTGACAGTGGCTCAGCCTGAAGGGGTTCCCTTTGATTTCCCCCAGGCTGCTCAGCTAATAAATACAGAATGTTTAAATCAGGTGAATGGAAGAAGGCAGGCAAATATCCACACATGACCAAAGTTTTGGGATGTTTATCTGTCTGCCTACTATCTCAATGTCTCCTTTCCTCACCAAATTTATTTATTTATTTATTTTGGTGGTTTCCTCTTTATTGATGTGCCTCCTACCTTCCCCCCACAATTTCAGTCCTTTCCAACTACCCCCATAAAAGAAGGTAGTGAAAGGAAGGGATTGCCAGGGTTCTCAGCCCCTTGGGCAGTTAGAAAGGGAACAGAAACCAAAACAATCACTGAATGTGACAGAGATTGACAATAAAGAAGTCAAAAGCAGAGTGGGCAAGGCAGGCAGAGAAAGGGGAAGAAAGGAGAAAGGAGAGGTATAAGAGACCATCTCTTCCATTACTCCTGCTAAGAGAAGCTGGAGAGAAGGCCTCAAACATGAAGAAGTGCAGGTCCTGAAGAAAAGAGATGATGTTTGAGCCTGAAGGAGGAGGAGGTCAAGGAAGAGGGGCCACCTCTCTCTTTGTAGAATGAGAGCCCCCCCCCACCTCAGAGGCAGCAGCTTCACAGACTGTAGACACTTTCATCACTGTAGGCAATGTATAGAAAGAAATCTTCGTGGTGTTCCTGGTATAGCTGACCCATAGTGGCACTGGTAGGTGGAATGACATTGTTGACAAAGAAGAACAAGGCATCCTCAGCTCAGAGATGAATTCGCTTCCGGATCAAGAAGTAGAATTGACCAACTGTGAGATCAGAAGGCACCAGGTATTTCTTTTTGTCCAGGTCTCCTATCCGAGCTTTGGGTGCCTTTTCTACTATCACCGGGACCCGGTCCGGGTATTTCTTTTGGATCTTCTTGCCCTCAGAGTGGCACTTCTCAAACGGATGCTCCTCTTTGTACACAAACTTCATCCTCCCGGGGAACCGGGCTGGACCGGGCTGGGCTGCGGTAACCCGGCCCCAAATTTATTTTTTTAAGACTCACCGTCTTGCCTGTCTTTCCTGAGGCTCTATAATCTGCCCTTGTATCTGGCCACTCAGTGGGAACTGCCATTCACTCTACTTTAGGCCGGACTGAGCAGAGGCCGCCTGCCGTCTTCATTCTATGTGGCCTTTGCAGGACTTGACACCTGGCCAGTCACTTCCTGGAACTCTGTCCTATGACTCCCTTGGAGACAGCTCTCCGTACTGGACAGTGCCTCATTCCTTCACAGATCTTTGTGGACAGCTGCCTATGTAATCAGCCGTGGCTATTGCTTTTCCTTTCATAAAGCCCTTCAGGCCTGACCCTTCCCTCTTTCTCTCCCTGCACATTGACCACCCACAGACATGACCTATAGCCCAGCCCCTCCTGATGGTCAGGCCTGTGGTCACCCCACCTGACAAGTCTCCCCTGTTTCCCAAGCACATCTCCAAGCCTGCAAGCTGCGGGCTTGACTCCCAGCCCCCACCCCACATAGGTGGGTCTGGACTGGAATCTGGTTTCTTCTCTCTGCCACCTGTTCTCACTCTGAGTCAACCATCCAGCCAGCTCAGCTCCGTGTCTCAGACTCTTACAGACTCTTCAGTCCTCCCTAGCTGGCCTTTGGTCCTACTGGTCCAGCAGTAGAGCTCCTGCTAAGGTTACCAGTGGTCCCCATGTCACTAAACATGGTCAGGCCTCATCATCACCTCAGGTAGGTGCACTCACCTTAGGTGACCTCCCTTTTTGGAACTCTACCCCACCTGCACTGGCCACACCCAACCCCTGGCCAACTCAGTCCTCTTCAGGGCTCACCTTGCTCTAACCACGCTATTCTCTAAGCAAGCCCAGGCATCTCCACGATTTGAATTACCATCTATTCCCAAAGGCTCCAAATGTGCCCCAACCTCTCCTCTGAAACTCCAGATCTCAATATGGATATCCCAAAAGAACCTCCAATTCAAAATACAGAACATTTCACCTCCCCATCCCCCCAGCAAAGCTGGGCCTATCTGTGCTGTCTCACCAGGCCTGTCCTGTCCCAAATTCAAGGGTGTGCTGTTAGCATCAGCTGGTTTCACAGCCACAGGCAGTCCATGGGACAGTTCCAGGGCCCCATCTTCTGCTCCCAGGTGGTGTGTGACCTGATGTTGGAAGTACCCGAGTGGCAGCTGGAATACTGGGGTGAGGTCTGGCTAGAGAAAGCTGGGCTCATCTGTGAGAGAAGGTCCTAACCCTGGGGAGGACATTAAGAAAATGAGAAAAAGCAGAGGACAGCCCTCAGGGAGCACCAAGCCAAATGTTCACCAACTAGACCTCTAGGAGGCAAAGGGGAGAGACGTGTGTATGTATATGCATATATAAGTTTTCTGTTACAAATTTTAGACATAAATATGTAACAGTTTAAAATAATAAACTTCTCGAGTGGCACCTGTGGCTCAAAGGAGTAGGGCGCTGGCCCCATATGCCAGAGGTGGCGGGTTCAAACTCAGCCCCAGCCAAAAACAGCAAAAAAATAAAATAATACACTTACTATAAAATTAATGTTGCCAATTGATTTGCACAGAAAGCTTTCATTGATTTTTACCAAACTGATTTTAATGTATTTGTAGCCAACGTTTGCTTGGAACTGACATGAATGTTGGTTGAGACTTCCTTTTAGGTTAACACGTGGACAAAAGGGAAGTCAGAACTTCATTCACTGATGACATGATTTTGCTTAATCAGATAGTAGTTTCTGAGTGCTGGATGAATACTTCAATTTTTTTGTGCTATTCTCATTGTAATGACTACTGACACACTTTTTAAAAAAGTCAGATATAGGCTCGGCGCCTATAGCTCAACCGGCTAGGGCGCCAGCCACGTACACCTAAGGTAGCGGGTTCGAATCCCCAGCCCGGACCCGCCAAA